TTACCAATATATCAAGTCAGTGTATATATAAAAGCCAATAACTAACAAGAAATTGCAGCACAGAATTTCCAAACTATGTTAAAGGTAATTTAGAAACAGTGTCATCATTACATACTATAGTTTCCACAGCAAAGAACACTGCCAAGTTTGTTTTTAAGAACAGGAAGTGTTCCAACTAGTGCGTATCTTGGTCAAAATAATAAAGACCTGTATCAAGATTACTGTATGTGGCGCTGCCTGATAATTGATTAGACGCCACGTAGATATAAAATACCATTGAACACTGTTTCTTGTTCAATTACCAGCCAGCTTGAGCATTACTACTCCTTGCTCCCCTGCTCTCTTTCCCCATATTTCCTGTCCCTATTCTCTGTCACTACCCTAACGTAAGGTAAAAATGGGTTATGTGTTTTCTTTTTAATTATTGTAATTTAAGTGATTATCAGCACATGTATAACCAAATATAGTTCTAGTACCAGTGTGAGCATCTGTCTCAAAAATACAGTATAGGTAGGCGAGAGTGTAGTGGTCTGTTTCTCTGACCTCTGACCCTCCTTTCAAGCAGGGCGTATGACAAAGCATATGGCTCATGAACGTTAAGTGTCACTCAGCCTGGCTTTATTCTGCAAAGTCAACCAGACCACCATAAGCTGACGTACCAGGTCAAAAAATAGCTTTTAGGTCGACCTCCCCGGTCTAGTCACACTCTCTACCCCGTCCCAGCCTGTGTACTTGTCCAGCAAACGGGGAGAGGCGTTTCCATGACGTTACCATGGCTGCCCACTCTCAAACGGACATTCCTGCTGTGTGTCAGCGCAGGACGAAGCAAGCCGCGGCGCTCGTTACATCGTCAGTTCCTTATTCGGTCAAGTGTGGCTTGAACTTGCTGAGCAGCCCAACCAATTTAGAATATGAAGTGTGCAGAGGAGGGGAAGGCACGGGCCGCCATGTAACTAAAATTAGGCAGGGAGCAGAGACTGGGAGGTCCATACTCAGCATGAACAGGATCCATTGTTCCCTGACGGCTGACTATTGTAACTGTGATATCACATCGCCGGCTGAGAAAAAAGAATGTGTGTCTTAGATAATGATGAGAGAGCCCTTCACTCAGTGAGAGCGGGGGAGTGCTCGTGGTGAACAGCTCGTTTTATGTGCTTGCTTGTAAAATGTTATTGGACTGGACTTGAGAAGAAGATGCCGTTTGTGCCTCCTAAATGAGCACATACCTTGAAGTTAGCACGTGGCCATATAATGTCAGATAATTAGCTGAGGCCTACAATCATGCTCATGACTGCTGAGATTTCATGACTGTTGCATCAGCAGCTATAGGAGTCATAGAGGAGGTGATAAGAGGTATGACCTCACTGTGCTGGAGATGAGATGGTGTGTTTGACTGTCTCCCTGGCTCACTGAGTCTTATTGTACCCTTGCTGGGCCATACTGTCCTGGACACTAATTCCTAGATAACATCCGATGTAGAACAACTCCCTCCATTAGGCAGCTGTGTGTGCTTGGCATTAAATAAACAAGCATCTGTTCACTCAGCATCAATTGAGCCTAAATAAAGCTTGAGAGTCTGTTAGCAGGAGTCAGCTGTTGCTGCTTCAGTGGCTCAGACATTATTATAGCCGCCTCGCATCAGGGGGAAATCTCTGTCAGAGAGGGTGCAACTGTCTGCTGAATGTGAGTCACTTTTAACACAAGAGTTTGAAAACGGCAGACGGGCCTCACACTGGGCACTGTGAAGTGTTGCTATGCTTCTTGCATTCGGAAATGACTCGTTTAACTTGGAAAATCTGCATCTTACTCAACTGAAAGCTTTGCCTTTTAAGGACCTGCTCCAAAATAATTTCTCCCTCCACTTGAGTGTTTTTATTGGGTTTTTTTTCTCTCCTCGCGAACGGATGACGTGCCTAAAACTCGACAAACAAAAAGTGCTTTGTGTTGTTGCTTTATAGAACGTTCTCCAGAAGCCCTTTTCTGAATGTCACAGTATAATTATGGCACTCTGGAAAGTGCTAGCTGGGTGAAAGAGCACCGTGTTTAGAGGGGTGTCCCAAACCTCTTGTTTTGGATACGTTTCTTGTAAAAATCTAGCTGTTTTAAAAAATATTTCTGTGGACTTAAAGAGGACATACTCACAGAAAAATGTCATAATTCTGGTTCTAATGTTGTTCAGCTCAGTTTTTGCTGATCCCCTCACTTCAGTCCAAACAGAGAAAATTAGGCAGCTGTTAAGTGCACAACGGAAATGCAGCTCCACCAGCATCATCACTTAAACCAAACAAAGCGCCCTCTTCGGCGGGAGTAACAGGACATTTCTGGAATAGTTTCTCCCTCCTCTCTAAATGCCCAACCCCCCCTCTGACTCCACAGAGGGGCCCAGGATAAGGGGAGAGGGATAGAGGGGGAGGAGGAGGAGGAGGAGGAGGACGAAGAAACCAGCAGTGTGCCAAAGAGCTCACTACTTCTAAAGCTTGCTATCTTTCTCCTCTTCCCACATAAATCACCTATTACTGCTTGTTCTTCTTCTCCTACTATATATGATCCCTAATTTCCTTTCCATTTCCCGTAATACCTCTGCCTCTCTTGCCGCCTCTCCTTGTGCAGCAGAGATCTCTGCTGTCAGTGTGTTTGGCAGAGAACTGCAGTCTGCTGTGCTGCAGACTCCAGAGGGTAGGAGCCCTGCCATGACTCTGAAACAGACTGAGAGAGGAAGAGAAGTGTGAAATGTCTTTCTCAGCTGCTGTGGCCTTGTTCTTGGCCACTCGAGACACAGATGAACTCGGCTTAAAAGCAGCACACTGTGTGGAAGTACAGTAAACGTCTTTTGATTTACAAATGACATTCCGTCATGTGCTTTGCATTTTTATCACAACCAAAAGAGAGCTCACTTCAGACAGTACACCTGTGAATTGGTAATCCCCTTCGCTCTGCGTGCTCTGCTTTCCATGTCATATGCTCGGGCCATTGCCATGGGAACAGTTGCTGTGCTGCATTACCACCCTTGATCCACAACTGAATGGTTCTCTCTAGGTGTAACACTGTGGGGAAAATGGAGTAATCACCCCATTGATGTCTTTCTGATCCCCTAAGGATCAGCTAATGCTGGTCCAGTCTAGTGTTGGCCGTGGACCATGATACCCCCAAGACTTCAGGGCCAAAGCTTTATTCTGGAATTGAATCATGTAACGTGAAAAGGGGACTTTCATTTGTTGAACAATGGCAGTGATCTAATCCAAGCTTTTCAGATATTGAATTCGGAGGGGGAAAGGGAGCGGGAGAGGACAGTTGCAGTACAATGGGAGCCAGCAGGCAGATCAAACAGAGCCATCCCACTGGGCGTCACGCAGAGGACAACAGCAGCCAGCCTGTCCACACCAGCAAAGAAGGAGCTGCTGGACTGGCTGAACTCTTCACACAAAGTCTTCCTTTGAGGACAAATCAAAACCTGAATCTATGATATTAAACAAATTCTTAAGTTAGATATTTGAGTAAAAACAGATAAGAATCTTATTTTCATTGACTGCTGTTTGCAAATCTGCCATCAACGTAACAGTGTTTGTGCAAAAACTCAGTTGATTTGTGTGTGTCTGTTGCATGACTCGTATAGAGACACTCTTTAGTTGCCACAAAGAGTGAAAAGCCGGACTACTGCAAGAGCGAGAAGTGCAGTGAATGGGGAATGAGCAGTGACTGACAACAGAAGGGTCTGCTACAGTAACACCCTGAATGAAGAAGTGCATTCCACAGCACCAATACTTGAATGACCTCCATGCTTGTCCTTGTGAATAGAATGGCATACCTCCACAGGCTTGGTATCCACAGAGTTACAGAGCCCCTCAGTCTGCACCAAATCTAGGATGAGGGTTGTAATATGTCTTGTGGCTTAAGTGTTGAAGAGAAAGTGAAATGACAATTTCTGTGATGCACCATGAATTAAAAGGTGCAACTGAGAACAATATCTAATCAGTTTCACAGTGACGGCTCTCAGTTTTGCCTCAATGCGGTTTAAATGAAGTTAGATGGTTGTCTTGGAGGGGATATAACTGTGCACCAGTCAGCATAGCAGATTTCATTAAGATACCTTACAAAGCTCAGTTAATCAAGTGAAAAGCTTATATTGCTGTCGAATATGGAATCGAGATGACTTTTGTTCCTTCATGGCTATGAATTAAGTGGAGCAAATGATGATGTAGAGAATGAACAGGGAGCACAGAACAAAGAGGTGGATAGCTGCTGGGTAAACAGGAGATATCACTGACAGTTTGCAGCTCCCTCTAATAGTATTTCTGACTGCTGAGAGGGTGACATAAAATGACTGCTATTGTTTTTCTTTCCCTCATCATTTGTAGGCTGATCCAACAGCATTGGGACGTTTCTTTATAAAACTGAGTGATTTTGATTTTAATTTCATCCTCTCAAAGCTTGTTTGTTTGTCGCTCATGACGAGCGTTTGCCATTAATTTGGAAGGCACACGCCACTTTCAATGGCCTGCTTCCCGCTGCTGCTCAGCCTTGTGTTTGTGCACTCTAGCAAAAGAGGAAACAAGAGGCCATCTGAGTCTTAATCACTCCATAAGTTTCCTGTTACTCATAGGCAGGGGTCTGCAGACTAATGGAGGGGAAGCGAGCTGATGCCTTTAAGACAAGGGGGTCGGTTCTCCACTCTTTTCCTCCTACTTGAGTCTTTTCGAGGGCAGCCTAAAAGAGTCATTGTCTGAAATAGACCCTTGGTTGTGCAACAGAGATGGGATCTCTATCAAGATATTAAAAACCTTTTTTCTGTTCCGTCCTATTCTATAAGTGCTATCAGTGATAGAAACCACCTGCAGATCTATTATGATAAGTGTCTGTCTGATTGTGTTTTATGCTTGCAGTAATCAAATCTGGGATGTTTCCATCCATCTTTTGTGCTCACAGTCCTCAGGAATAGTCCCTCTAACATATTGCAGATAGGTAATGTGCTTCTCTTCTAACACACTGTTTGTTTATTACAGGCGGGAAGTGATGGCGAGAGCATTGGGAACTGCCCCTTCTCTCAGAGACTCTTCATGATACTTTGGCTTAAGGGAGTTGTCTTCAACGTCACCACAGTGGACCTAAAGAGGTGGGTCTTGCTCCCAGTCTTCTCTTTCCTCCTCATTCTAATCTTCTCTTCTGTTGCTTTTCCTTTTTTCATTTCCTTTTCAACCGGCATAGAAAAATCATCACTTTTTCCCTCCTTTGATAGCCTCCCTCTGCTTTTCTGGGCGTTTTCACACAGGCTTGATCTTCTCTGTAAAGCTTTGATCCAGCCCCACCTCTAACACGCTCACTGCTTCCCCACTGCTTATTTGGTTTTCCCATGACCCCTTCCCAGACCGGAGAAAATCAGAGAAAAATAAACATTCAGACTCCGGAGAGGCTATTTTAAGGTTCCTGACTCCGCTCACTTCCTGCCTAAATTTTGGTGGGCAACATGTTATTTTTTTTTACCACTAGGATCAGAAAACAGTGATCCTCTGCAATTTTATTTTTCCTCCCAGCTGCAAAGGAACGTGCATTCACATGTGGATTCCAGCACCAGAAGCTCTTTACCCCAAACCCACTATGTTTCTGCCTGTATGATTCATCTAAATGCACTCTTAATGTTTTTCCACTTGTTAAGCCATGCAAGTGCCAGATTATTTTCAGCCTTCTCCAATGGTCAGATGGCACTTCTGGTTTCTATGGTCTTTCCTTGTCATGTGTTTCTGACTCAGAGATTAAAGATTATTGACACTTCGTTCTTATGGCAACAGGTTCATCGCTGGGCGTCTCCTCCTCCGGGACACGGAGACCACAGCTTGCTGAATACACAACAGAGATGTACTTGATAGATGCCTGGCCTTTTTTTTCCGTGCAGCTCAGAGGAGGAAAGCAGTGGACATTTGACTAGTCGTTTGGTTTTCACGCGTGCTGGCACGTTCGCCATGAGTGCATAAGTTTGGGTATCTTTGCATATATTTTCCCTTACGTACTCTGGCCGCGAGAGTATAAAGCTATGGATGATGTCCACTGCTTCATACCCCTTTCTCTACAAACAACCCTATGTTTAGCTAAAGGATTTGTGGCTTTATTTTTATTTTTTTTGGAGAGACAGCTGATTCTAGCTTTGCTCTTTCCATGCTATATAGCATGTGTGTTATCTTGGGTCAACATAGTACGACTGTAGTGCAAGAGGAGGTGTATGTTTGCCATATTTATGACCGTTTATTGTACTATTTAAATGAAGGCACAGTACATGTTGTTAAACCTGTAGAAGGACATGAATGTCACTGCTGTAAAGCACAGTTTTTTATGTTTTACATCTTGTCTTGGGTAAAGGCTGCCATGTTTGTTTCTGTGACTCCCTGCGCAGTTACTTCTCAGTGATATCACTCAGTGACGGGACCACTTCCCCTTTGCATGCCAAAGAGTTGAAGTCATTTCCCCCCTTTTTTTAATGCCCTTAAATGGCTTGTCTCAAAACTCGCCGTCTGTGGATGGAAGTTGTTGCCAGGTATATTAATATTAACCACTAAATATTGTTCACACTATGCCCGGGCGTACACCAAGCTATGAGCTGTTGAGTCACTGTTGTGTGCAATGTTTTTTTTTACCCTGATGGGATTTAGGAGTCTGGGTTTCACAAGTCGGTTGTGTTCACACTACTCATTCAACACATGCTCATTTCTGTTTGTGTGTCAGTGTCATCTGCCTGCCAGAGACATCTGGTACAAAATGTGCTGGTTCCAAGGCCGCAGAGAGAGGAGGACACAAAAACACTCATGGAGACAGACAAACACACACACACACACACAGTTAGACACAGCAGCTCTAGCTGGAGAAGGAAAATGGCTGGATGACTCCCTGAAAAGTTTTTAAAAGAGGGGCAGGGTGTCAACAGAACCACAGCACTTTCAGATACTTGAACTACATGCATATAAATGTATTCGCTTGTTTAATTGAACCAGTTATGAATAATGAGTTTCATTTATGGTACTTTCATTGCCTACGTGGGGATAGAAGCTATGTTTACTTGCTAGATCCACATTGCCAGATTGCTTCTGCTTTCTTCAGTACACTGACATCTCTCCGCTCCGTCTCCAGGAAGCCTGCAGACCTCCAGAACCTGGCCCCTGGCACACACCCGCCCTTCATCACCTTCAACGGCGAGGTCAAAACTGATGTCAACAAGATCGAGGAGTTTCTTGAGGATGTCCTCTGCCCACCCAAGTGAGTGCATTACTGCTACACCTATACACCACACAATGCTGCACTGCTGTCATAAGATCAGCTTTAAGTGTGCTGTGATTATGTCATGAGGGGCAGAAACCTTTGGTGCTTTTAAGTTTAGACCAATGTTTTACTTAAGGTTGGCAATAGCGGATATTTTTCTTATTGTCAGTAAATCTCCTGAAAACACCAAATCCATGTTTTAGTCTTTTTCACAGACTTTTATGGAGTTGGACAAAGATACAGATTTCACAGGGACATTTAATTTCAGAGGGGAGATGGATTGACAGTACACACCGTAGTCTGGATATGTATATGGATATATGGCTGTATGAACAAAACTGTCATGAGGAAGTGGTGGATTTGTCAGGACTATTTACAAAAGCAGATTAACACTCATTGGTCCCATTAATGTATATTTATGGCATTTGGGTGATGTACGTGTGAATTACTCAAAATGAACTTCACTGCCAATGGTCATTGTTAATATTGGATACAAGGAACACACAGGACTAAAGGGTAATCTAAGTCAGATAGTTTCTTGTAGTAGTGGTCTGCTTTTAATGGTGTTGACACTGAGAAAAATCTTAAATATCACCAGACCTATGCCTTCACCTCTTCATTCACATATGTGTGTTTACTTGTATGTGTCGTGTGCAGATACATCAAGCTTGGTGCAAGACATCCTGAGTCAAACACAGCTGGTATGGACATCTTTGCCAAGTTTTCTGCATACATCAAGAACTCCAAACCCGATGCAAATGAGGGTAAGTCACCTCACCTTTGGCGCACACACACACACACACACACACACACACACACTTACGGTAGGTGCACTGACGGAGATCCAGAAAACTTCCCATTGTGTCGGGAGTGCTCTCTGGTTGCTAGGTGACGCTGGTAGCACTGCCCTGATTGGTGGATTACGGTCTGACTCAGGAACACAGCGCTTTTGTTCTGCTGCCGCCTCCTGTCCCATTGCTCCCCGTCTCACCTGGAGCTTTCCTGAAACCACACAGCAGCTATCCTGAGAATTAAGGAACTCGTGCTCACAATCTCATCCTCCCTGTTTTGTTGCCCAGATCCTGTAAAAGAAAGGCCATATCAGAAATAGAACCGATAAGATTGTTGGAATTCTGGGGAAAATATGTAATCTTTTATTTTAGAGATTCTGTTACATCCTGGGTAGGAGGATGTTTCAGGTATAAAAAAAAAAAAAGGTTTTTATATCATGTTTTAGTTGGCTGCTCTCCACCTTGGGAAAATATTGAACCATGGAGAGCTGGATGCGAAAGCCAAGGCTATGTCAACAGAGTTGAGACAGAATCTCATGGTTCAATGATAAGTGCTCTGCAAAGCAACAGGTTAAGTCTACCGTTTTACTACTGGATCTAGCATGTGTTCACATTCGTGTCATATTTTCTAACAATAGAATGACTTGTTAATGAATAATCTCTAAACCGATGAATGGATGTTGGGGGAGGACTAAATATCTCCTGTTCAGTCAAATGCAGTCCTTTGAAATGTGTAGTGGGTAGCAAGCTTTTCAGCAGCAAGCATTATTATAATGTTCAGGTGATCAAGATTTGATATTTAAAATGTACACATTGTGGATGTCTCGTCATGAAATGCTGCCCCCATGTGGCTGATCAGCATATGGCTGAAGCTCCAGTAAAAGGCCTCAAAAAGTAGATCACATGGTAATACATTAAAGTTAAATAATTGTCGTGGTTTTTAAAATATCTCTTATTCATGTTTGCAGGTCTGGAGCGTGGGCTGCTGAAGACACTGCAGAAGCTGGATGAGTACCTCCGCTCACCGCTGCCTGATGAGATCGACCACAACAGCATAGAAGACGTCAAAGTCTCCACTCGCAAATTCTTGGATGGAGAAGAGATGACCCTGGCTGACTGTAACCTGCTGCCCAAGCTGCACATAGTCAAGGTGAGCAAGTTACTGTTTAAACATCACTGAACCATGTTGGTCGTGGTATAAGCATAGCACAGACCTAACGCTTTCAGTTAATTAATCTAATTGGATGTATTCTCAAGACTGCGTGGGAGCGTACAGACTGTACTGAACACAAATCTCATCTCCTGTTACACTTGTAAGGATGGCACTAACCTTAAGCTAATGGTAAATTGAGATTGTAATTCCCAGGATCGCTTCACCTTGTCAGACAGAACAAGGGAATACACCTGTGTGGGTGCAGGGTTGATACGTAAATGAAGCATTGTTTGGAAATACGGCCATTCTCACCGTTCACTGGTGATATTAATGGTTTTAATGTTTCTTAAAATTTACAAAACTAAACTACCCTCCCATAAGCTACATGTTCTATTGTTGCAAGGATATTTATACAACTCTGTGGAACTGCAAATACTCAGTTTTCACTGTCAGTTAATTTGCTGGATATTTTATTTTAATTTATTGGCTTCTATTATATCAGAAAATTGTATAGATGTTGGAAAATAGAAAACAACTACAATTTCACAGAGTCCAAGTTTATGTATTGAAATGTAGAGCTGCAATGATTAATTGACTAGTTGCCAGCTATTCAATTAATCCAAACTATTCTGATAATCAATTAATCGGTTTGAGTAACTGATACATAAAAACTATTAAAACAAAGATTGTCTGACTAACAGATCAAAGCCAAAAACTGTACATTTCCACCACGGCAGACAAAGAAAAGATAATTGACCTAACAAATTAACAAACAATCAAATCTGTTTGCGGATCAGTTTCCCGTCAGTGGAGCTAATCAGTCGCTTGACCTGTTTTAATTGTTTTAGCTCTGCAGTTGTGAGGCCTTGTCCCACAGAAGAGCGTTCGTTATTGTGCTGTAAGCACAAGATGATGTCATCACATAGCTTACTTTGTCCAGACAACAGATGACTATTAACCCTGTAAAGCCTGAACCATGAAATAATTACCAGAAAATTCTATTTTTTTTAAATACTGGAGTGTTTATTGAACTTTCTGACAAATTATTATGATAAAAAATACATCTAAATTTGCACATATGTTTAAATTTGTATCATATTTGCTGCATCCGGCATTTTTGGTGCATGAATTACTGATCTGTGGTGGATTCAAATCAGGTTTTTGTGGGAAAAAAATCACTCTGATGTAGAGGCTCAAAAACTCATGTATCAAGTACATGATAACATGTGGCGCTACAGGGTTGAACAAGACAAAGAAAAGCAGCACCCCTCATTATTATGAAGGTGGAGGTGGGGAATATTAGAGTAGCATATTATAGATTCATCTTCTTTTGATTGACTACATAATTGACCGTGCACATTGTTTTTTTCTTGAAGAAGTTTAATTCTCAACCGATTGATGTTGTATTAAAGTAGTTCCAGCCGAGATTTCTTTAGACTGAAAACTTGTTGTTTGCTTTCTTGTTGCTGTACTGAGTTTGTCACAGAGTTTACAGCTGAGTTGGTGAAGACTGCAGCATATGATTTATGACTTAAGCTCTCCAACTGTTTCTTCAGGTCGTGGCTAAGAAGTACAGAGGCTTCGACATCCCCAAAGAGATGACCTTCATCTGGAAGTACCTGAACAACGCCTACACCCGCGAAGAGTTCACCAACACCTGCCCCAGTGACAAGGAGATCGAGATCGCCTACGGAGACGTAGCCAAGAGGCTGGTCAAATAAGCTCCTCTCCCTCCATCCCTCACCCCCACAACCCCTCCGCTATACACTCCCCTCCACCTCCCCCTCCTCAGCACCAGGACTGATGTGCTCATTCATGAGAAAGAAAAAAAACAAAAAACTCTGGACTTCTTTTCCTTCTCTCCTCATCTAGAGCGAAACCCCCCCACCCCAATGCATGACCCCATTCCTCGTCATTCTATTTTTTCCTCCGGTTTTTACGAAGATCTCTTTAGTTGAACCAGCCACGGTCACCCTCGTTCCACCTCTTTATCATTAATCGCTTTTGTTTTTTCATTTGCCGATGAATGTTGCGAGGCGCCATGAGATGGCGATGGAGAAGCAGCCAGACACGTGTATCAGTGCTTATCAATGTCGGGAGCCTCGTCGAATGCGCTCCCTGATAAGTGACCTTCAAGCTGCCTTTCTCTCTGCACGCAGGGGAAAGGTCACGAGCTGTTCTTTTTTCTGTTGTCTGTTTAAACCTGAAGTAGCTCTTTCTTGGATTGCTATAAAGTGAACACTGAGAAGCTTTTTTTTCTGTCTTTTTGGCTTATTAAGAGATGTTGTAAACAGTGTTGAAGCTTCAGTGTTTTTTTTTTTTTTTGTTTTGGCTCCAGTATTTGATAGGTTTAAGTAGAAGCTGAAGGTAATCCAAACCCGAGAGGTCGACATATCAAGTGAGAGATGCTTTATTTTAATGTTGAGCTGTTTAAAATAAATCAAGATAATTGTAACTTGCAGGTGAAGCTACCTGGTATCCATGCTCTGATTTCCTCGTCGACTCAAACGAGCAACAAGTCTTGTAGCTGAGCTCAGTAGAATTGTAGGAACTTTCCTGTACCGACTGCGTATGTAACAACTCAGGAACAATACAACCTGAGGTCTAAGAAATCGTCAACCACATGTAGCTTACAGACGTGTTCAAGGATGTGTCGATTGGCCTTTTGTTAATCACCGCATTGCCATAAAAAAAAATGTCCATTTAAACAATGGCACGCTGACTCTTCTCTGGAGGGAGGGTCTTCTCTTTGCCGACTGTAGCCGTAGTTTGGATTAAACATCGTGGACCAAAAAGAGGGCACATTAATCTGGTTTCACTGTGGATTGGACAACTCTGGTAGTAAAGTCGAGAAAAGAAACCACACACACTCACTTACTGCATAACATACAGAGGGAAGGACACTAATGTGCACCAGGAGAAGCGACACTAAAGATATTTATGACAAAAGGAATCGAGAGCAGCAGCGAACCTGATCAAATTTCACCTTCTGTTCCGTATGTAGACTGATCTCCAAGGTAGCGAATGTATATGCTATGATACAGTAGCTTCCAAAAGTGCTTTAGTGCGGACAAAGCAAAACCTGTTTTGTTTTCTCCCATTTGCCATGTTTTGTTTTTTTCAGACATTTGTTATGAAACAAATCTGATACAAAGGAATTGTAAATATTTGTTTTTCATTGCTCAGATTTCAGTGTGTAAATTTAATGCATTTCATCAGAATTTTGAGGGGAAAATGGGCCATTTCTTGCCTGCTTGGATATGAATTCTAGATACACCATCTCCTCTTTGCCTTACTTGCTTTCTCTCTGCAGATGTTTTGCAGGAAGGTAGTTTTTATTTTAGAGATCACTTCATCACAACGTGAATGTGGCGTTGTACAAAGAAAATATCCAAGCTATGACATGGCTTTTTTTTTAACAATATTGACTGAACTGAAATAAACTTCTTATTGGCACTCAGACTTGTGTTTTTTGCCCGTCTGTCTGGTAATTCACAGTAAGAGGTTGGGTTGTCTCCAGCACTCAGTTCTATTTAGTATTTTATTTTTTTCTATCACTGTTGATAACCTAAAACAATGTCCAATACCAGCTGAAAAAAATATATAAGTTGTGAAAGATGCAACATCCAATATAAGCTTTCTTTAAACTGAGAGCTACATGAGGTAAAAGGTTTAATTTACAACATACAAACAGAAAATGTACACATACAATTAAAAGAAAACTAAAGGAAAATTTAACAATAATAAAGATAAATTAGTAAAAGTAAAAGTAAAAGTCCTCATATTTATTCATACCCTTCCGTTAAAGAAAAGACAAAATTCACAATAGTCACTTAAAAAACTAGAAACTGAAAAAGGTAATAATAAATAAAAATTTGCTAAATTATAATTTAATGAAATAAGACATTGCTTTTGAATTGTGGTTGAAAAGAATAATTTAAAAAAAATAAAACTGTCCCAGACAAATCAGAGCACTTTGCTGATGAGCAGTGGGCCAAAATCCAAATACCTGATTGAGAGTTACAGAAAACACTTGATTGCAGTGATTGGCTCAAAGAGATGTTCGACAAAATATTAGTTTATGGGTCCCATCATGCTTGTTTTTATATATATATATATTTCTGTTGAACCACAATTCAAAATCAATGTCATGATTTTCATTATTTCTTATGTATTATTACTTTTTGTCAATTTCAACTTACTTCAGTGACAGCTGAAGCAGCAAAGCTATTAAAGGATCTAAAAAAAAAAGGAAGGGCTTTGCAAATACATAAAAACATTGTGTCTGCCACGCCTTTCAGAGCAGCAGGGCCACCGAGCCTCAGCATAGCGCTCACAATGATCAGTATTATAACGATCACCAGTGACGGGTCTTTAATGTCTTCACAAGTTTGCTCACATGATATTTAAAAGTCACTTTATCAATCCCAAAGCCAAGATACTTGTTTCATTCTTGGTAGAGATGAAAAGAGTATCACACTCAATATTTTCTGCTCTGGTGATGAATTTAGTTTTATGTGCATCAAGAACCAGTTAATGTGAATAGAATCCAGCTTGTGACTACAGCAGTACAGAAGAGGCCACTGTTTTCACTTCGTCAGCTGTCTAGCAGATTCTCAATACTTGTTTCTGAAGCATTTAACGACATGTTGAGGCTTTTAGTTGCAATCTCCATGACATCATTCGCTAAGAGGGAGTAACTTTGGATGGACCTGCTGTTTTTTAAGTAGACTATTGATCGGCACTGAAAAACCTCCAGGGTGGCACCGTGCTGCAGTGGTTTGGACTGTTGCCTCAAAGCACGAAGGCTCTGGGTTCAGACCTGCCGGGACCTTTCTGTCTGGAGTTTCCTCCCCGTGTGTCCGTCTGGGTTTCCTCTGGATGCTCCAACCTCCTCCCACACTCTAAAGACATACATGGTGGGTTAATTGGTGATTTTAAATTGACCTTAGGTGTGAGTGTGCTTCGTTAACTGTCTCCTTGTGTTAGCCTTGTGATGGACTGGAACCCTGTCCAGGTGGGTTAGGGCTCCAACCCCATGTGACCCTCTGCAGGATAAAGCGGGTAAATAGATGAAAAATCTGCAATTAAACAATTTTTTTCTTTCATATGACCCTTAAGATTATCCATCCATCCATTATCTATACACCGCTTAATCCTCACTAGGGTCGTGGGGGGCTGGAGTCTATCCCAGTTGACTCAGGGTGAAGACAGAGGACACCCTAAACAGGTCACCAGTCTATCACAGGGCTACACTTAGAGACAGAAAACCAAGCACATTCACACCTACGGACAATTTAGAATCACCAATTAACCTCACCATGTTTTTGGACCATGTGGGAGGAAACCGGAGAACCCAGAGAGAACCCACGCTGCACGGGGAGAACATGCAAACTCCATGCAGAGAGATCCCGGGTGACCTTCTAGCTGCGAGGCAACGGTGCTAACCACCGATCCACCTTGCAGCCCCGACCCTGAAACACTGGTGGTAAAATCAAATTAAAATTCAGTTAGAATTAAAAAAAAACAAAAAAAACAAAACACTTTTCCGACTGCGACAAACAACTATTCTTCTAAACTACATGTTTTATGTTGTTGTTTTCAGTTTTTATCTGTCGCTACAATATGAGAGAGCATCAACTGAATTTGATTGCACAATGTAAAATGACAATAAAAGGGATTTAATTTAATTTGAAATGTCTTCCGTGAACCTGCCCCCCATAAATCAGGTATGTATGAGTTTTGGCATCATTCCTAAAAGTGGCCTTAACTGATATTAAAGTGTATAATTTTGTTCTATTTTACCTGAGGTCTTCTTTCAGAAAGAACATTCTGGCCCCTTTGTGCCTTCCATAAAGGGGCCCTGGGGCCTCAAGCTGCCTAGTAAAACTGATAAAAGGTCAAATTAGTTTTTATTTCTCAATTGAAAGCGGTAATGCACAAAGGGAATGGTTTCATATCATCCATATTATACAAAATTACACGTCGAGTTCCTTTCTTTGCGCTCTGTTGTTGATCTATTTGGAGATCACGCATACAGAGAAACAGAAAAGTTTGGGATGCCTCGGGCAAAAGCATGTTTGTTTACAGCTCTCTTTCTGCAAGGAATGTCTCATGTGGGTGTCCACCCACTGTGGGTTCCACCTCCCCCCGAAGACACCCTCTTACAGTAAACTTGACGATGTTTTTCAGCCAATTCCCTACTGTTCTGAGGCACAAACAAGTCTATTCTGCAGGGCTGATTGCAGCCAAAGTTTCGCAAGAGAAGGAGAACAAAAAAGGTGTGGGGGCGTACAGTTTTTGGATGCTCTCCAGATCATTAAAGTGTCATGTTTCAGCCTCAGACATTCTCTACTCCCTGCTTACTGTTGAACACTGAGACACGGCCTCCACTTGTAACGCACAGAGAGGAAATCCACCCAGACGCAAACAGACAGACGTGTGTGTGTGTGTGTGTGGGTGTGTGTGAGGTAAAAATCGACACAACAGAGCTGGATATCATTCAGACCGCACAATCATTACAAGCAGGGCGAGTATATTAGTGTAATTGGGTAATGAAGGTGAGGCCAGTAGCTGTTGTTTCTCAAACATGTTGACTGTAGACGCGTGCGTGATGTGTCTATCTTTGTGAGGACCGACTTGAGTTTTAGACCTTGGAACTGGAAGCATTTTTGGAAAGTGAGGAAATATTGGCTGATTCTCACTTTTGGACAGAACTTCAAAGGACTGGTTGAGGGTTAAGACTTGGTTTTAGAGTTAAGGTTAGAATTAGGTTGAGGTTAGGGTGTGTGTGTGTGTGTGTGTGTGTGTGTGCATTTGTGGAAATAGCAGGGCTATATTACACACCATGAGAGGGAGCCAACTAGTCAGATAAGCTATGAAGACACATTTACAATCATTTCCTTGGATCTTTCTTTGCTATGATGACAAAAAAACTCCTCTATAATGTTACTTTAATCTTAATATACATGGTATTTTTTTGCCAATATGCTTTCACTTTTAACATGCAATTCAACCCGCTGAGTATTTTTCACTCTTCGATAGCTCAGTGGAGCCGTTCCTTTTTGGCATTGACTCCACACTGCCGGTTCAGTTTGCAGCTTTTACACAACACCCATTTATACAGCTGACTAAATATTTACACTGGTAAAGTAGCTCGCTCAAGGGTACACAGTGATATCCCAACTGGGTTTTGGACCTACAATGTGTGAAAAACCTTCTTTGCATATGGACTCTGTGCACCTGACATTTGATGTGGCTATAGGTCTGCTTGTATTTGATTTACACTGCTGACTGACAGCACACAGGGCTCTGTCTAACGTTTCGGGCTACAGAAATATTGGGACTTTCCCAATTAGAAAAGAGTAATCTGTGATTGTTTTCAGATTATTATACAAACCCCAATGTTAAAACATTATTAATACCATTCATGAACATAATATTCCATTCATACACCCTGTCTCTTTCATGACAACTTAAATTAAGGGAAAAGATTAATGTTGTTTTTTTCACAGCCAATTTTCCAGTGTTAAGAGTTCATGGAGTGCACCCAGACGCTCAAGATCCACCCATCAGCCACAACATTAAAACCACCAACATGTGAGTGAATGACAACATGATATCATTATCATCCAACGCTCTGCTGGGAAAACTTGTGCCCTGGCATTTTTCTGGATGTTCCTTTGACATATAAACACTTTTTGGAGACCAAGCACCCTCTCCTTCAATGACAACGGCACTCCCCCACCATGCCTTATCATGAAAACTGATCAGGAACACCTTAAGGAACACGACAAAGAGCCCAAGGTGTTGACCAACCTCCAAACTCCCAAGATCCCAATGCAATCAGGGTTCAATGCGATTCTCCAGAACAGTCCCCGTCTGTGGAGGTTCCTCCCCGCAACCCCACAGGACCCAGGCTCTGGTGCCAGACACCCCAAGATACTCCCAGAGGTCCTATATCTGACAATGGACAGCATGAGGGGGACCTACACGATGTTAGGCTTCTGTTTTTCATGCTCTGGCCGATCTGTGTATAAGCAGTCTTGGGGTTGGGCTAGCTGTAAACAGTATCTATACTGGTAAATAGGCTGTGCAGACATTTACGCCCAAGCTTCTTGACTGGTACCTGTTGAAGTCACCTGTGACCCAAGTCACCAGTAACATCTGTAAACAGACTGTGATCCGGTCAAACAAAGAGTGATTTTATTTTGCCGTGCACAAGAAAAACACAAAAATGAAAACAAAAATGTGAGAAGGAAAAATGCAAATAAAATTTTTTCCCTCTTGTCTTGGGACCACTTGTGGGGTCCAGATCCCCCCAAGGTTTGGAGCCAAACCGAGATTACAGTATGTAGCGATTACCATAAAGATAATTATGCGCTTATGGAAGTATGCATTTCCTATTTTTGAGTTACGACACTCATGCACACCTAAATAAAACGTCTCAGCTGTCTAGACGC